TCTCTCTCTCTCTCTCTCTCTCTCTCTCTCTCTCTCTCTCTCTCTCTCTCTCTCTCTCTCTCTCTCTCTCTCAATAATCAGAGCATTAAGAACAAAATGCCCGCTGATTGTCACTGAACATGTAACATTACTATAACGTTATTTGTTATTGAGTATTTAATGGAGTGTTTTACATCAAAGGTCTAAATCATTTCAACATTTACAGACCTAGATTCCTCCCCCATCTTATTTGCAAGCAATCTGGGGGTCCCCGCGTGTCCTAGACACACATCAAGTTTTGAAAATTCCAATCTTGAAACCCAAGGTGCCAGTGCTTGTGCTTATACTTGTGAGACAATTCCATTTCTTTCATCATCATAATGAGAAAAAAAAAATTCCCATCTTCGATATTATAACGCGACACAAACAAACCAATGTACCCATCTCTGCCACTGTGAGTCACAGCAATTAACAATGCATTAGCACTGAAAGCCAAAGTCACAGCATGGAAGTAGTAAAAACAGTCAGCAGAGATAGCTTGGAGATCATTCTCTTCCCCTTCCTCCTTCAAATAAAACAAGGTGAAAAAGTTTAAGCCTAAACAAAAGCGACCAAGTTTTAATATAATCATAGAAACTCATTTCCATGGAAAGTGAGGGACAAGGCAGTCTCACTCAGGTTTTTAGGGTGATCTTAGCTTAGCTATGCAAGATCATGAGTTTCTTGGTCAAGAAAATAAGCAGTAGACAATTATCTCGAGGTATTGTTCCAGTATGTTCCATTATGACTGGTTAATGTCCCACAGCAGGAAAGGCATGAACCAAAACATCAAGAAACATTTAAAATTGCCCCCAAATCTCTATGGGTGTCATCAGTCTCATCCAAAACCTCATGCAAAGATTCAAGATTCCAGAATCTCATGAGATTTTGCACGTTTTTATTTTAAGAAAAGGCTTGTGTTTCATTTAGATATCTAAGGTGCATGCCAGCCCTCTCCTGCTTAGCCTGGAGGAAGCCAACTTTTTTAGTCTGGCGTTTTCCAAATGTAGTGGGCTTCAACTTCCTGAAATCTGAGAATGGTAGTCCCAGTATATCTGGAAGACCTCAGATTGGAGAAAAACCATCAGTACTATCTTGAAACAAGATTCTTATGCCCTCATCTTATGACTTCAAAGACAACTTCAGGTTATGAGCAAATATGACTCTCTGCTGTTATCAAGATTACAGAGTGCATTTCTTTGACTATCAGAAGATATTGAGCAACCAAAGAAGGAGAGAGAGGGGGGGGGAGGGAGGGAGAGGGAGGGAGAGCGAAAGAGAGAGAGAGAGAGAGAGAGAGAGAGAGAGAGAGAGAGAGAGAGAGAGAGAGAGAGAGAGAGAGAGAGAGAGAGAGAGAGAGAGAGAGAGAGAGAGAGTAATGTCTACACAAGAGGGTGAATTGAATCCTTACTTGGCTTCCAGGGCTAGAGCAATGATCCCAGCTACCATGGGGGCAGAAACGGAAGTCCCCGTGTGGCCATCTGTGCATTGTTTCTTCAGATCTGTGGTCATCTAAGAAGAAAGCTAATGTAACTATCAGTTGAAACTGAAAAGGGAGAAACAACATTCAAATTGCATTGTGGAGCCCAGATTTTGTGCAACCATAAATGGCCAGGCTCAAGAAGATAACAATGACTCTTTGGCTTCCTTAGTAGGTCTTTTCATTCTTTCTTTTTTTTAAAAAAAAAAAAAAGGGGGGGGCAAATGAGATAATCTGAACTAAGGTTTTAGTAAGACTGGGTGTCCACAGAGCAAAAATGTTGAAAAGAAATCAGAACTAGTCTTTTCCTCTATGGTCTAACTGTCAACAAGGAGAACTAACATGAACTTGAGTAATCCCAAAAAATAAATTCTCTTTAAGCAGTTATGGAGTCTAGGAAGCATGGTGACTCCGTATTCTTGTGTAAAATATTTTAACTGAATTCCCACCACAAAGGCAATGCTACTAATATTGTTCAGTTGTGGCACACATGCAATTTAACTCATCAATGTGCTTTGTATTGCTTCTATAGTCATTCACCGGCTGGATGACCTATCCAACATGCATGCAGAAGCTTTTTATGTTACTGGACAGTCCACGTAATGTCACACGAACAATGCAAAGTTTCATTTTTTACAAGTAGGAGACTTACAATCTGCCGTTCATAGAAGGCCCCACTGCTATAAGTTGTAGCAAGGGTAGAGGCGCACTCCTCCAAATACCAGGGCTTGTTCCCATTCTCGGTGGTACTGCTAACAGAGACAGTGTAGATGCTGTTGGTGTATCCATCACAAGAGCAATGGTCCCCTTCTCGGCCACCGTTTCCAGAAGCCCAGACAAAAATAGAACCCCGTCCTCTACGACCCTAGGCATTGGGGGAAGAAAAAGGGTTGGAAAGAGAACGGACAGCTTCACCTAGATTCACCTAAATCTCTATCAAGTACAAACAATGTCCATTGAATTTAACTTCTGGAAAGAAGCATTTGCCAAGTTTTATGCTCATTTGTATAACTTGTGTAAATGATCACGTTCCCACAATCACCATGGTGGAACAAATACATGTGACTGAACAGAAGGAATTTTTTTATTGTGTGCAGTGGGACTTCTACCATCTCAAACCTTCATCCCACAAGAAAACTGAGTGGAAAGGCCACAAAAGGAGCAACAGCTTTGGATTCCACACCTATGTTCAAAATTGCAGATGAGAAATGAAGGAGGTTGTGGAATATCTAGCTCTGGTTTTAAGAAGGTCGATATCTATAGTTGGATCGTACATTGATGCGAAATGGAGAATAGAATCTGAAGAAGAGCAATATAAAGCCCCCACTCATAAGAAGAGAAAAAAAGGTAGGCTACACCACATCACATTTTCCCCACACCTTTTTAATGCCGTGTTCAAATGCTTGCTTGGCCAAAGGACCAGGTCCATCCACCGTGCGGCCATCGTCATCTGGACCCCAACTAGCACTGTAGACATGGATATATTCTGGCTTGGCACCAATTGCTTTGGCTTCCACCACATCCGTCACGTCACCATCCAGCATACGGATGCCTGAAAGGGAATCCACCGGGCGGTTTAAAAATGAAGAACAAAAGCAATGGGTTGGGGACAGCTCTTTGTACAGGTGCAAAAGACAGCAATCAAAGGTTTTAGTTCAAAGTGATGCCCGGAGCATGAATGGCTGTTTGTGGAGGGATTGGTCACTGAGATAACCTAGAATAACTATCCAGGACAAAATCAATCCACATCGGAATGAATCCTGAACCAGCTGGTGCTTCCGCTTTACCTTCAGGGTTGGCCTCAAGATACAAAACATTACGATAGTGCAACTGGAAAGTTACCAAGCCACGGATATTCGTATCTGGCCAAATCCACAGCTGGACTGTAATGAGATGGAGCTGGTCTCTAAGAGGAGAGGATTGTTTTGTGCGTAATTCTGGCACAGCGCGGGCAACACCTTGCAAAATAAACAAAGATGGGGGGGAGGGGAGGGAATACATTACAAGCCCAAAGGCAGATGGAACCTTTTCACAGCGAGGCCTAAGTTGGTTATGGAAATATATGGGGTGAATTACTCTCCTCTGATGAGTCTGGACACCGGTCCAGCAGCTAGCTAACAGGGCTCTCCTGGAAAGGAATAAGCAGGGGCAGAGTCCACCCAAAAGCTGGCCCGGTCTTTTCCAAAATGAAATGGGAACCAGGCAACAGCTGAGCCTGCTGGATCCGGGCCAAAATCCTCCTTGAATTTATGATATTTTTTTATGGAGAAAAATGCAGCCAAGCTGACAGATACTATAATATTAAAAAAGAGAGTGCTTAGCCTTGAATGAATGAAGGAATAAATAAATACACATGAACCGGTCTCAGAAAATTCTAGCAGCTTGATTCATTTTTTTTTCTATCAAGAGGAACGACTGATTATTTATCACAGTTTAGAGAGGCGCTGCCATGGGTGGCAGCACTTTTAGGAGAAAGGGCAGCCAAGGGTAATCTTAGTCATAATGTTGCTAAGTACAAAGGCCGCTGCTTAGTTTTTAAAAGATTTCGTTTTTCTTTCTACGCATAGTTTTTTTCCTTCAGAAAAAAAAAATCAAAAGAAAAAGTTAATTACAGCCACAGCTTTACAATAGTACAGAATGAATATAGGTAGTTTAGCACACACAAAAAACACACCAAAAAAACTAAAACCTTCCTCTGAGCTGAATTCAAACCAACATTGTGCAGAAGCCTTATTTCTATAATTGTTACTAGAGGTTGAAGGCCAGAGTCTTGTGTTCCTCTGAAGATAATTGGTTGGATAAAAAGAAACATACCAGACAGTTTCAACTCACTAAGCACAAATGCGTCTACATTCACCCATTAGGAAATAAAAGTATGTAGAAATAAATAAAGCAACTGGTTGCAAAAGTTACAGTCTGCGGTTGGGAGATCTGATTTTTGTCTCATTTAATGAAGGGCTCTAGACCTCACAGTAATGGGAAAACTGGGAACGTTTGCAGCGAACCAAGTAATAAACTAAACGGAGACGGGATTCTGATCTTAGAAAATTTAGATCTTCCACTTGCGTTAAGGCAGAACTACTTGGTCTGCTAAGAGCACACAGGTTTGTAAGGACTGGTTACACAAGCCGATCTCTGGTTACAAAGCACCCCAATGCCGAGATTCTACAATGTTAGGATCCACAAAACAAAATTTGTGTCGAACTTTAGCGTAACGTCTCTCCCAGAAGCCAAACTTTTGAATTCACGATTAATCGTGCTGCTCAAAAACACGCCGAACCCATTTTAGCTAATTCTCTTTCCAGTTGAGCTCAACTCTCATTGATTTCAAGGGCAGGTCTTTGCGGTTTTCTCAGCAACAAGGAGGAACTGGTTGTCAAATGTTTTCCTCCAGGATATTTTGGTCCCGGTATTTCTTGATAATCTCTCATCAAAGTGCTATCCAGGTCTGATTCCTTAGTTTTTGGAGATCAGCCAAAAAAACCTCAACTGTGCAAAACTCATTCAGCGAGAATTGTAGCAGTCTTCACTGCCATCGCTGACCAGAATTCAACAATCAGTGAACTTGATTCAGATCAAGTTAACCAACCATGTAAAAGGATTAAAGAATTTGTATTTTAAACGCAATAAAAAAACAAATAAAATTATGAGATTGAGCAGAGACAAAAAATGCAATACTGTAACCCTCCACCAAAATAAACAAATATGGATTGAGATAAAAAATCACTGCCTGTATCAATTAAAAAAAAAAGGCTGTTACTTTGTCTCAATTCATAACAATACAAAAAGTTGTGGATCTGGAAGCATCCTTGATTGATAAATTGCCAACAGAAATCCCTTTTAAATTAAGCTTAATTCCTCATTCGAAAATAGAGTACTTACTGTAATTCTTGTGCTATAAGCATAACTTTCCTTCTGATAAATACTGTTAATTAGAGCTCTTAGATTCTTATTATTGGAATTAACTTTTTTTTCCTGACTAGATGGTAAAGAGGAGAGTCTGACAAGGAGAAGAATTAGCTTCTTCCGTCTCCTTTCTCTTCCACAGGGTGGATTAAATTCAGAACACCCCCATCTTCTTTATTTCACTTTCTCTAAAACATCTAAAGGTCATGGTTACATTGCACCCTAAATCTAGGATTTAGGGAATGGCCCCCTCTGCCTTGGGCCTGGCCCAGGCCGGCCAGGAGCCCATGTACAATTTTTGGGTGGCCATCTATGCTGAAATGCATTCAGTCTTAGCTCCATAAGCCACCACCCCCCGCATGGCATGAGAGGAACATTGAGGCTCCTCCAGTGGACCATGCCTCGGCACTTGCCCCGGTCCCCACCCCCTTCTGCCAGAGACCCTCAGATCTATCCCACTCCTGCCAAGGCCCCCACAGGCACCCTTGACGTGAATGATGTAGAGCTGGCCACGCCCACCCAGTAGGCCACACCCAATACATCCACGCCCACCCAGTAGGCCACACCTACCCTGGCCACATCCACCCAGCCCCCTGAGGGCAACCGCAATGCCGATGTGGCCCTCAATGAAATTGAGTTTGACACCCCTGGACTAGAAGATTTCTAACCCGATGATTCTATGATTGTATGACTCTGCCCACCATCTTGCAGCCACTTGTTCAACAGCAGGTTATAGAACAAGAGGATTAGATTGGCCAAAATTATCCATCTGCAACAGCTTTAAACAGTGACTGGAAGACAATTTCCCTGCTAGCACATCCCCAAGCTTCACCTTTCTGAGTTTCAATTTGGGTAAAAGAGGGGGAACCAAAGGTCAGTCTGAAAGTTGGCAGACCTGAAATAAAATAACGTTCAGTTGCTGTAAAACCGCCTAAACAGCAAGCCGGTTCTGAATGGCAGTACACAAATATTTTCTATTCGGCAGGGCAGGGGAGCCTCAGCTATCACCAGGCACAGTGCAAAGCCTATTAATCTGTCCCACCGAGAACAAGAACAAGAACACAGGGTCAATTCATGTGTGACTTGCTCCAAGCACCAGGGGCTCCTTTGGCAGCAGGAAAATCCCAGATTAACTTGTGGAATTATCTAGACGGAGAAAAAGAATGCAGAGAATGTAAACATGCTACTGTACCAATAAAGGAGACTATTTGTAGGTCAGGATTGGAATGAGGGATCCTTGGTACTCTTTGAGCTTGGCTGTTTTCTTGCTACTAAAGCTGATGTTACTTGGTTTGGGTAATGAAACATCTGCAAGAAAACCACCAAACTCAGAGAATACCAAGGACCCCATAGTCCTCCTCCTCCTCCTCTTCCTCCTCTCTGCACACTCTGTTCCCTTCTAGCACTCATGATGTTACCTAGTTGAGTAATGAAACATCTGCAAGAAAACCACCAAGCTCAGAGAGCACCAAGGACCCCATAGTCCTCCTCCTGCTCCTCCTCCTCCTCCTCTCTGCACATCCTGTTCCCTTCTAGCACTCATGATTTACCTAGGTGGGTAACGAAACATCTGCAAGAAAACCACCAAGCTCAGAGAGCACCAAGGACCCCATAGTTGTCATCCTCCTCCTCCTCCTCCCTGCACACCCCCTCCCTTCTAGCACTGATGATGTTACCTAGTTGAGTAATGAAACATCTGCAAGAAAACCACCAAGCTCAGAGAGCACCAAGGACCCCACCCTGCTACAATCTCCAACAGACAGGATGAGGACAAGTGAGAAAGGGCAGCAGAAAACCTCTCTTCAGAGGGTCCACGCAGAAAAAGGAGGTGAAGCCTTTGAAGTGTGATTGGATCTAATTCCTTAGCATTTCTTCCACCCATTCAGAATCCATCAGCTGACCAGTATAGCCTATGTAACAATAAAGAAAGACTTCCTAAGCAGTTGTCCTATTCTCTGGAGGGAATCCGACATCCAACTGCATTTTTTAAGATTTCGTGAATGACAGCCAAGCTAAATATTTGATATTTGACCTGTGTGTTTAAGCAGAGAATTGACTCACTATATAAAACAGCAATAACAGTGCTGCTTTCTGAGGACTAAAAAGACATGTGTATTGAAACAAAGGGACATTTTTTGTCTCTAAACTGGCAACTCACCAGTAAGTATCACTGGAGTTGCATCCCCTTAAATAAAATAGGAGGAAGTGGAAGGAATTGTCTAGTGGGTTATAAAATTGGGGGGCATAGAGAAAAAAAAAACTCTATTTATATTTCTAAGCTGGTTTAGCAAAAACTGTAAAACATAAATAGCAGAAGTTAGCAAAAATGGCAACAACCGAACCAGATTTGGTTTCTGGAACCCCCAAATGACAAGGCTAAGAGTCAAAGAGGTAGAAGGTGAGACAAATATATAGTAAAGTAGTATACAGTAAAGTATATAGTAAAGCAAATATATAGTAAAGTATAATAAAGTAGTAGAGTAAAGTAACATTACATTTTCAATTGATTTTGTAAAACAGTCTTCTTCAAAGATCAGCTGTACCTCTCAAGTTGAACAGAGTCACGTTGAAACAAGATGGGCGGCAAATACATTTAATTAATAAATAATAAGTAAATATTGTAAGAATCTTCTTCCTTACCTCCAATTCTCGCATTGTAGGCGATACCCACAATGCAATTGGAGTTGTTTGCCGATGCTGCCACTTCGCCAGCGCAGCGGGTGCCATGCCTAGGAAGAGAATTCCCAGAAAGATTTTAGAATTCAGTAGAAACAGAGAGAGACAGAGACAGAGACAGAGACAGAGAGACAGAGACAGAGAGACAGAGAGACAGAGAGACAGAGACAGAGAGGAGAGAAGAAGAAGAAGAAGAAGAAGAAGAAGAAGAAGAAGAAGAAGAAGAAGAAGAAGAAGAAGAAGAAGAAGAAGAAGAAGAAGAAGAAGAAGAAGAAGAAGAAGAAGAAGAAGAAGAGAGACAGACAGAGAGAGACAGAGAGACAGAAAGAGAAAGAGAGAAGGAGAGAGAGGGAGAGAGAGATGGACCTGCATAAATTTAGCCACCGAGAACTGACTTAAGATTTGGATCTCATTAAGGCAAAAAACTAGAACTGGTTTCTAGTTTGATGGTTATTCTGGTTTCTGGTTTCTAGTTTGATGGTTATTCTGGTTATTCTGGTTTCTGGTTATTGATGGTTTCTAGTTTGATGGTTATTCCTCTCAAGTTGAACAGAGTCACGTTGAAACAAGATGGGCGGCAAATACAATTTATAAGTTGCCACCAGAGTATTTTTTTTCTCCTGTTATTCTTTGCAAGCTTTATTTGAGATGGGAAATGCAGGATAAGGAATAGCCTGTTATTTCATCTCTGTTGCATGGGGGCCATGTTTGTTTACGGCATGCTAAGGCTGCAAGTGCTTCCTCCATTCTTAAAAAGACACCTGGATTTGTCTTAATGGGCTCATCATTCACTTGGCATTACTATTGCTTTTAATAATGCATCTAACACACATTTAGCCCCAGACTATAATCCTTCACCCTCTGAAATCCTCCTAAATATGTAATGGAAAGTTCAGTTCCATGCCTATAGAAGACAGCATGGAAGCTAGCCTAGATCTTTCAATGTTTGCAAAAAAATCATATATTTAATTTAAGATTCTATATATGCATGAAAAATCCGCCCTATTAGCCTGACTTTTCAGGTAGTCCAAGGCAAGAAAACCAGGACTCCAGAGAAACTAGTTTGTAATTGCTGTGTTGGTAAAAATACCTTTGCTGTGGTTTGCCAAATTAACTCAATCGGTTTGGTTCATAGAATAGACAAAGAGATGTCAGACTAAAGAAACCAGGAACGGGAATTTATTTCAAAGCACTTAAGAAGGTTTTTTTTTTTTTCAGCTACTGTACATATTCACAAGAATCTGGTCTACTAAACGGTCAAGTCAAATTGGCATTAGATAAAGGTCAATGGAATTCACAAAGGGGGCGTGGACCTGCGTCTCTTATGGCTGCACAACAATTCCAAACTGTGACACATTTAACCCCACTCTCCAGCTCAGCATGCTCATCTCCTACACAGTGTGCTGTGCTAAAATGTTTGGGTTCTGGGTGCTAGGCAAATACAGCCACTCTGGACTCTGATTCAGTGCTACTCTTCACTACCACAACATGTATTATAAATGAGGCTAGAGCATTTTGACAGAGGTGAAGTAAATTTCTGATGGGCAAAGGACAAGCACGTCCAGGGAATGGTTGAGTTCTGTTTTTGCCTTCTGGTATTCATTAAAGTGGGATGCCTCTACGGCAGCCCGTGTTCGGAAAACTTTCAAAAGTGCATCGAAGTTTTTGACAATTAATCCCCTCCATTAATGAAGTGCTCAGAGGATTACTATCATTAGAAGAGAGAAAAGCAGATCTTAGAAAGAGAGTGTTCATACCCAAGCTGAGTCCCGCAAGCCTGGAGGAATAATATTTTGCAGGATAGCCAAACAGCTGCAGAATTCAACACACATAACATCATCCCCATCCCAGCCCAATCCAGCCTAGGGAATTGCCGCTCTACACTTTATTAAGCAACTGTAGCATCTTATTTCTGATCGCATGCCAAACTATGGTTAATGAGGCTCAACTATAGTTTGGCTGGATGCCCTGACTGAAAACTATTGTTCCAATGGCTGATCGACTTCCAAAATTGCTTTTAAGAAACAGAAATGCTAAGGGGGGAGAGAGGGAGAGAGAGAGAGAGAGGGAGGGAGGGAGGGAGGGAGGGAGGGAGAAGGAGAAAGAGAGGGAGTGAGGGAGAGGGAGGGAGGGAGAGAGGGAAGGGAGAAAGAGAGAGAGAGAGAGAGAGAGAGAGAGAGAGAGAGAGAGAGAGAGAATGGAACACACTTATTTTCATTGCTTGGATCATAGCGTGGAGTTGGGTCTTCATCATTTCCATTGACATCATAGCTTGCATGAGGGTCCTAAGGAAAGAAAAAAAAAACCTAAAGCACAACTAAAAAAAAAAACNAGAGAGAGAGAGAGAGAGAGAGAGAGAGAGAGAGAGAGAGAGAGAGAGAGAGAATGGAACACACTTATTTTCATTGCTTGGATCATAGCGTGGAGTTGGGTCTTCATCATTTCCATTGACATCATAGCTTGCATGAGGGTCCTAAGGAAAGAAAAAAAAAACCTAAAGCACAACTAAAAAAAAAAACAAATCGGAAACAAGACACAAGAAGTAATGGATGGAAACTTATCAAAGGAGATTTAACCTAGAATGAAGGAGAAATTTCCTGATAATGAGAACGATTATTCAGTGGAACGGCTTGCCTTCAGAACCTCACTGGAGGTTTTAAAGAAAAGATTGGGTAGCCATTTGTCCAGAATAGTCTGCTGCTTGAGCAGGGAGGTGGACTAGAAGACCTCCAAGGTCCCTTCCAACTCGGTTATTCTGCAATCTATTAAAATCTTAGGATTGAATTCTTTTTCACTCTCTTATAACCTTGCTCCTCCTCCAAAGATCCCAGAAGGTTTCTATGGGATTCCCATCTCTGCATCGAAGCTTGTTCAGACCCATAAGCCTACACTGGATTACTTAAAAGTAACTTTCACTGCATTCAACAGGACGGGTCATTCTCAAGAGAGCAAGCTTTGGCTTGCTTATAAACTGGCTCAAAGTATTTTGTAAAAAGAAAAGCGATTTCTTGAGATGAAAGAGGCCCTCAGAGAAATTCACCACTCTCAAATATCCAAGCTAGAAGAACAACACAAGAAGTGTGTAGTTCTGGAATCAAAAGCAGGCTAAGTCCTTTGGGGCTGATGTGGACCGTCTCTCTGTGCCGGCCATCAGCTCTTTCAAAGAATGGTGCCTTTTCCCATTTCCCAAGGAAAATACTTGCTTCAGAGGCATTACAGAGGTAACCAGCAGTTGTGTGTTGTATTGCTGTCCTGTTGCCACCTCCTTAACTCAAACAAGAATGTACGGAGAGGGGAGGCCCGTATCAGATGCTTGCTTTGCATCCAAAGATGCACAACATCCAAGAAAAGAAAAAAAAAAGATGGAGAAAGAAAAGGGGACTAAACTCCAAACTCAGGAACTCTTAAAGCAATTTTTCTCCCACCCTTTCTTATGCGAACCCAGTTGCAGACCAGGTGAAAGAAGAAACTTATGGACCCTTTGCAGGTGAGATCCTACTCTGTTTCTCCTTCTGTTATGGAGATGACTAGAATATTCTGGAGACAGAGAAAATCCCTGATGATGGGGTCCAGCATGAGCCCAACAGCTTGGTAGACTAAACCTTTGGTCCCAGTGAAAGACTCAAGATTGGATCCTGCAACACTATCCTGGGACAGGTAGATTTATCTTCATTCACGACCAGAATAACTGCCTTGATATTTTTTTTCTGCTGAGATAATGCGAAGTCAGCTGACGTCATAGCAGAGCGTAGCAAACGTCCTTTGCTTCTTTTTCTTATGGCGTACAAGTAGACGACAATAGTAGTAACTTTGAGAGGGACCTCGGAGTCCTAGTGGACAATCACCTAAATATGAGCCAGCCGTGTGCTGCAGCTGCCAAAAAGGCCAACACAGTGCTGGGCTGCATTAACAGAGGGAGAGAATCAAGATCACGTGAAGTGTTAATACCACTTTACAAGGCCTTGGTAAGGCCACACTTGGAATACTGCATCCAGTTTTGGTCACCGCGATGTAAAAAAGATGCTGAGACTCTAGAAAGAGTACAGAGAAGAGCAACAAAGATGATTAGGGGACTGGAGGATAAAGCATATAAGGAAAGACTGCTGGAACTGGGTATGTCTAGTTTAATGAAGAGAAGGACGAGGGGGGACATGATAGCAGTCTTCCAATATCTCAGGGGCTGCAACAAAGAAGAGGGAGTCAAGCTATTCTCCAAAGCGCCTGAGGGCAGGACAAGAAGCAATGGATGGAAACTGATTAAGGAGAGAAGCAACTTAGAACTAAGGAGAAACTTCCTGACAGTTAGAACAATTAACCAGTGGAACAACCTGCCTCCAGAAGCTGTGAATGCTCCAACACTGGAAGTTTTCAAGAAGAGACTGGACAGCCATTTGTCTGAAATGGCATAGGATTTCCTGCCTAAGCAGGGGGTTGGACTAGAACTAGATGACCTCCAAGGTCCCTTCCCACTTTACTATTATTATTATTACTATTATTACTATTATTATTATTATTATTATTATTATTATTATTATTATTATTATTATTATTATTATTATCCAAAAACGTGTGCCAAATCACTCCCATCTCTACTTACATAGTTCTGTACAAGATCAGGGTGATTCTTCTCTATGCCGTCATCAAGGATGGTCACTACGACACCTTTGCCAGTGTACCCTCTTTGCCAAGCTCCCAGGACATTCATTTCGGACCTGCATTCGCTGTTGTTGTCTTCACAATGCTGAGAACAAAGACAGCAGTGAGTGAGGTGTGTTGCTTTCCTTTCCATACCTGTCACGCTCAATCAGAAAGACGGGCTTCCGGTAGCTACTCCGAGTTTGCAAATGATAGGACCAGCCCTGGATTAGATAGAGGAAGCCATTGCCCCAGGCAATAGAAACAATTGTGTCTGCTCACTTCCGATCCTTTTTCTGGATTTAACCCGATGCTGTAGCTGCAGCCTGAACCAGACAGAAACAACTGGACCACCTTTTCTGGCAGCTGGCAAGGCCAGCTACTGTAAAGCATTAGAGGTGAAACTTCCCTGGAAGGCTGTTCAGAAGTTGCAGCCTGTTCCAACATACAGCAGCTCCGCTTCAGCTAGTCAACAAGCAAATCACGGAGGAACCTGTTTTTGCTGTTATTTTAAGACTTTCGGGAACACCCTGACCATTTCCAAGGTGGTTTTCACACCAGCAAATGTCTTTCACAGCGTGGGACTCAAAAAAAAACCCCAACCAACCCCCTGAATGAATGTCTGCTCTTGTATCAGTCTGCCTGTGTGTTGTGTAATTCTCAGAGCCTTCCTCTCCAAGTTCTCTTGCTGTTTTGGGGGTGGGTGAAAACCAGAGAGAATAGAAAAATTAGTTATAGAAAATTGGTTAGAAGAGATTTGTGGTAGATTGATATTGTATATGGCAGTGGTTGTCAACCTTTTCTTCACCAAGGTCCCCCTGTAAATACCTTTTGTGGCCACGGACTATGGCCACCGACTACCAACACTCATCAAGCCTTCACGGACCCCCTTTGACAATATCATGACCCCCTCAGGGGCCCACAAACCATAGATTGAGAACCACAGGTATATGATACTTGAGATAAGAGGTCACCACTATATACCTGCAGACCTCAAATTATTTGAAGCCAAGCCAATAGCACGCTGTCTTTATCAGGCACAACCTGGCCCCTTCTCCAATTTTGGACCCTTAGAATTTGTACAATCCAAATTTTTAAGATCAGCCATTCAAACCTTAAAATAGGTCTCTAACACCACCCAGAGACTAGAGACAGGCCTCATGAAAGTGGAGACTAGAAGGTGGGGCGTCATTTATACATTTCTTAACATTATTTATCTCTTTTTCTTTCTTTCCCTTTTTAATTAGTCTTTTATTATATGAAAGCGCTTAATAAATACAGAGAATGAAACCCTCGTTTGTAAAACTTGTTTCTCAAGAGCAGGGGTCTTCAAACTTGGTCCTTTTATGACTTGTGGACTTTAACTCCCAGAATTCCTCAGCCAGGTTTGCCTGGCTGAGGGATTCTGGGAATTGAAGTCCACAAGTCATAAAAGGGCCAAGTTTGAAGGCCCCTGCTCAAGACTGATTCTTCTAGCAACCCACAAAGATAGATAGGATGATTCACCTGCAAGCTGAATTCACCGTAGGTAAACTTGCAGATCATTGTACCAAACAGGGGGTCTCAGTCTCTGTTACCTGGCAATTAATTTTATTGCACATCTGCATGTACTTAAGCAGATACACCAATATGGTGTTTGCTTACCCACACAAGTCAGTTGTTTAGGCTGGGTTTAGCATTTCTATCCACCTATTGAATCTTTCCTACCATTATTATTTTGTTGTCAATAACTAGCAAAGTAACTGCAACACTAAAAACAACACCACCATTCAAGCAGGCTCAAATACAATAAGAGCCAAATAAAACCACTATAAAGACAATTGCAATTTACACACATGAGAAGCAAAGGAGAGCCAAATTTAAAAAAAAGAGCAAAAATGAAATAAATCAAACAAAAATAAAAAAAATGAGTTAAAAGAATGAAACAACTTCCTTGTGATATCATTCCAAGATTAGGGCATCTTGAGCTTCCTATGGCACTAGCTGCTCTTTACACACACAGAGAGAGAGACACACACACTAGCTGCTCTTTACACAGAGAGAAAGACACACACACACACACACACACACACACACAAAGTGTATAGTTACCATGTACCACATTTCAGGCCAAGATGGGTCGTTGAATGAAATGAAGCGATGGTTGCGTCGGACTCTCCTTTTGACTCTTGGTTTAATTTCTTGCTGCTGCACCCACTTTACCTGGAGGATGATAAAATAATTGTGTTTATCCCTTTTGCTTTCTCTTTTAAAGAGCTGCTTCCTTAGAACAGGGTATTTGCCAGCTCAGTTTTGGCTTCTGACTCCTCGGATGCCTCCTCCATGGCTCTCCGTTAAGATAATTGAATACCAACAAATGGGGACATTAAAAGATCAAAGCGAATCTCATTAATCAGTGAGAGCAAATCCCCAGAGTCACCAGCATTAGCTTGGGGTCTTTTAAAAAAGAGAGACAGAGAAAAATATCCAGTGGGATTCTTGAGATAAGGACTAGAAACTAGGAGCCATCCCAGGCAAGGTTCTTGTCCTCATAAAACACCTTGTTATATGAACAATCCCATTCTTTTTCTGCAGTTCACAGCCCCGCTTTTCTACTTAGCACTCAACGGTCACTCTTACCTAGTAGATAGGAAGCTACAAAACAAGGGGCTTAAGAAGACTGTGGAGCATTTTAGATTCAAAGGGGAAACCATGCTGCAGAATATGCCAGGACCCAAGGGTGATAGGAAGCAAACTAGGTGCCTCCATAGCATCAATGGGCAACCCCTTAAGGGTCTTCAA